ATATATTATCTTGGACATCTTTTATGATTGTGAATACCCATTAATTATGTTCAAAGTTGAGAAAATTAGTTGAAATTGGACAAGGAAAACAACATAATGAGTTATGTTTGGGTATATTTGCATAGAGGTTATATTGTTATGGATCCTCTAACATGTGGTGCTTGTTTAGAATCTTTTTCTAGCCAAAGTTTCCATACTAAGTGGGAATACTACTTGTGCATCCAAAGTCCTTGAGCTAAGTTTCTTCCATGAGTATCCACTATAACTACCTATATACGGTATTACTCTGCCATTCCAAGTAAATTTGCATGTGCCATCTCTAAAACCTTTAATAATCATCTTTTTGTGTGCTCGTACCGCTCATGGAGCGACGGGGTGGTCAGTATCTTCCATGCTAAGTGGGTTATTCTCATGATGGTGTTTATTCATTTGTCCTTGCATGAGAGAGGCTGGTAATCGGGATGCCCAGTCCCTTAAATAAAAAGAAAAAATACAATAAAAACAAAGGCTCCCCCTGGAAAGTTGAAAGTTTGGAAGGCACCCGTGAATTCAGCTAGCCATGGCTTGTGTTTGAATAGTTGAGGGGGAGTTAAACCTTTCATTTCTCCATGGGAACCGCCAATAATGTGTTTAGCATGAAATATATTGAATACCTTAGTCGTGACGTTGACAGCAAAGGCACACCACTCAAAATGTATTCATCTTTGTTTTAAGCTATGAGCTCTGGCACCTCTACAAATCCCTACCTCCCTTTGCGAAGGGACATTAATTACTTTTATGCTATTTACTATCATGTTATTTATCTTTGTTGAGTCAACTTCTTATTCCAACCTACTCTCTAGTTGGCAAGCATTATGTGGTGGGGAAGGATCCATGCACATATAGCCATTCAAATATATTTGATCATGATTTATTATTGTTGACAATTATCTCTATGATAAATGAGTTGGGAGGCGAAACATCAAGCCCATATCTTTCTCTGTGTTCGATGGATGCTATTTGTTCTAAAAGTATGCTTTGAGTGTTAGCAATCATGGAAGACTATATGATGATTGAGTATGCAGAGCTCTTAATTAGACTTTGTTAAAAATGAGATGCCTTCATTTTGTTTGTTGACTAAGAACATAGCTTGTTAAGTTTCAAGAGAATGTATTCTTTAAACTATGACATGTGAATTCATTGTTACTTTATCATGATGAGTTTTATGAGGAATAATTCTTGTTATGATGCTAGGAAAAGTGATTGAAATTATCATTGATCTAATTTTTGCATTATGCTAGCATTCACACTTCATAAATTATTTATTTTATCATTTACCTACTCGAGGACGAGCAGTGATTAAGCTTGGAGATGCTGATACGTCTTTAATGTATCTATAATTTATGAAGTATTCGTGCCATGTTAGCAATAATTTTACATGGTTTTGGTGCACATTTATATGACATTTATATGATTTTCATGGACTAACATATTAACCTAGTGCCCAGTGTGAGTTGTTGTTTTCTGCTTGTTTTTTGTTTCACAGAAAAACAATACTAAATAAAGTCCAAATGTCATATTTTTTATGGAGATATATTTTGGAATATATGTGATTTTTGGGAAGAAGAATCAATGCAAGACGGTGCCCGAGGTGGCCACAAGGGAACAGGGCGCGCCCCCTGGCCGCGCCGGGTTGCCTAATGGGCACCTCGTAAGTCGGTTGGAACCTTTCTTTCGCCGCAAGAAAAGATAAAAATCCCCATAAAATTTCAGCCCAATCGGAGTTGCGGATCTCCGGCTATAAAAGAAACGATTTTCGACCAGAAAACAATAGCGAAAAATAGAAGAGAACAAAGAGATCCAATCTAGGGGAGAGGTCCCTCTCCCCCACGGACAGCCAAGGAAGAAGGAGGAGGGCCCCCCTGCCCCTCCCCTCCAGTGGTGCCGGAGCGCCGCTGGGGAAATCTCCTCTATCACCATCACCACCAACTTCTCCTCCGTTCTTATGGTGATGTGTGAGTAGTTCATCCTCGAGGCTAAGGGTATGTACCAGTAGCTATGTGTTTGATCTCTCTTTCTCTTGTTTTCTTGATTTGGCACGATTTTGATGTACCGCGAGCTTTCTTAATATAGTTGGATCATATGGTGTTTCTTCCCTCTCTATCTTCTTGTGATGAATTGAGTCTTTCCCTTTGAGGTTTCGTTATTGTCGGATTGAATACTTTGGATTTGAGAACACTTGATGTATGTCTTGCATGTGGATACCTGTTGTGGCGATGGGGTATTCCATTGAGTCACTTGATGTATGTTTTGGTAATCAACTTGCGGATTCCCGTGACCTTGGGGTAATCTAGGCATATGGGTCGGTATACATTTTCATCCTTCATCCTTCTTTCTCCGAAGAAACTTTGGGGTGCTCTTTGAAATTTTTGTGTGGATTGAATATTATGAATATGAAGTTGTTTGATTCTTATCAAATAATCAACTCACGGATACTTGTGGTGACATTGGAGTGTCTAGGAGACATTAGAGTTGGTTGATGCATATCATATGGTGTTATTTTAGTATGTACTCTAGGGCTGTTTGTGGCACTTATTGGGATGGCTCAATAGATTGATCGGAAAGGGTAACTTTGAGGTGGTTTCGTACCCTGCAACAATTTCTTCTTATGTTCTCCGATAGATAAGAACTTTGGAGTGATTCTTTGTCGCACATTGAGGGATGTTATATGATTCAATTATGTTAGCATTGTTGAGAGATTGCACTAGTGAAATTATGAACCCTAGGCTTGTTTTCAAGCATTGCAATATCATTTGTGATCTCTTTTGTTACTTGCTACCTTGATGTTTTTATTATTTCAGATTACAAAATCCTATATCTACTATCCATACTACACTTGTATCACCATCTCTTCACCGAACTAGTGCACCTATACAATTTACCATTGTATTGGCTGTGTTGGGGACATAAGAGATTTCTTGTATTTGATTGCAGGGTTGTTCGAGAGAGACCATCGTCATCCTACACCTCCCACGGATTGAAAAACCTTAGGTCATCTACTGGCGAGAAATTTGCTATTGTCTTACAAAACTCTGCACTTGGAGGCCCAACAACGTCTACAAGAATAAAAGTTGCATCATAGACATCAATAACATGTGTATGTTTTATGTGAACATCAAACTTTATGTATAGTGTGTATGAATGTATGTATGTAAATTATGTATGTGGAGTTGATGTATGAAATGTATATTTGTATGTGATGACATATGAAATGCAATGTTTACATGTGTTTGTGCATAAGTGTGGTGAAATGCACAACGCTGGTAATGCTAGCAGTGCACCCATTTTCCAAAGCCACCACAAGTCATCACTGACCGGCCATAATGGGGAGGCCAAGAAGTAGTGACTTTCCTATGGACACACCTTCGACAATCATCACTAACCTGCCAAATATAATCAACAACAGTTCGGGTGACTAGTCAGTGATAAGGGTTCATCAGTAAAAGAAACTATTGAGGTGTCGTCGACTGGTTAGTGATGATTGTTTTAGTCAGTCAGTGTTTATCGGCGTCCCTGTAGTAGTGTTCGTAACTAGGACGTCATGTAAACAAAATTGAAAAGGATTAATAAAAGTCTATCCTTTTTTGACCACTTTACTCAAGTTTTCTCCTCTAAGTTATCTTAATTTAAATAATATTTTTTACTAACTAACATTTTTCGGCAGAGTTGCATATGGTGCTATTTGTTTATGTAGAAACTTATTTAGAAAAATAAAAATGGAGTTGGTTTTGGACCGAAAGAGGGCCACAGCCTAAAGGAGGGCTTGTGATCACAATGGTGCATGTGTCCTATAAGACCCCCTCTACCTAGAACCCCTCAAAGATTTTTCATGTATTTTCCACGGTAGAAGCGGACTGGACAGTAGTCAGGCCTTTGAAGAAATTTGTTAATTAGCATCAATATTATGTATTACTTTTTAATTATGATATTTATTCATGATTTGAAGCATTTATATATGTAATTGGATTTGGCGAAGAATGAAACAAAGTCTGATCATGAATGAGTAGTGAATGGTTTTGCTTTTCTTATGGGCACAAATCCATCAATTTGAGAGTCATTGTTAAAGCGAATAGAGGGTTAGGACACCAGTATGTGAGTCACCGGAAGAGATGGACGGAAATAATAAGAGTATTAATCAAGATACTATGCCAACATTAATTTAGAAGATACATGAATGCAAGAGCCAATAAATATTCCACATTGAGTGAGAAATAATCCTCAAGAAAATATACAGATTTGTGGGGTATTGATTTTGACGTAAAGTGATATCAGAGTAATAATACAAGAATATATAGTGTAAATGGAACACAAATGCAAGATATATCAACATTAATTAAGTGGATAATTAATGCAGGAAGCCATATGAGAAACATCTATGCAAATATTATTGTGCCTCGATTGAGAAATAACTATTTCTGACTGACTGAGAAATTGTCCCTTAATAAAATATAGAATATAATGCTTGGCATTTATTTTAACATAACAAGATATCATGATATCAATACTAGTATTATATATCTTGTGTCGGTGTAAAGAGCATACAAATGCAAAATATATCAACATTAGTTAGTAGATAATAAATGCAAGAAATGATACGAGCAACATCTATCAAAGATATGATTGTCCTTTGATTAAAGAAATAACCATTATAAACTGACTCAGAAATTAATAGTTCCTCAATAAATGCAAAATATGAAGATTTGTGTGGCATTTCTTTTGACGTAACAAGATATCATGATATAAAATACAATGCATATAGTGTAAATACAATGCATATGCAACATGTATCAACATTGTTTTAGTAAATAACAAATATAATAAACCATATGGGAAATATTTGTGCAAGATATGGATGTGCCTCTATATAAAGACAATAAATAAAAGGAGCTTTGGCAGCAAAGCAGCACACCATAAGAACATAAGGAAGATGAACCTACACAAGTCACATGCCTCTTCTCCTCATGGCACCGATAAACCAAGGAAACACAAGGAGGGCCAGGTCCATTGCTTTCCTTGTCCTCGTGATGCTGTTTGCTTGTACCCTATCATCCTGCGACGCACGAGGTAAGCACTATTTGAAAGGGCTAATCTAGAATAATCTTGTCTTGTTGAATTGCTAATGATGAATACAACTTTATTGCATCTGCAGGTGGAGAGCCATATTGCATAGGTCCGATACTAGTATGCTCTGAGCCTAGTTGCATGGAAGAATGCAACTTAATAGACAAGGGTCTTCATTCCTTCTATTGCAACCACCTTGGACAATGTTGTTGTTGGCCTCTATAGTTTGATTGGACACAACCATTTTGGTTATGGCTTCATGACGTCGAATGAATCTTGATCGTGCTTGTGTGATGTAATCTCGGTGAATAAACTCCTTGAATGGAATGGGTCATTCTTTTTATGTAGACGGAATAAAATGTTCCTTTAAAATGTGATTTGTGGCATCTACAGCAGGCCGTCTTTCTTGCATGACCAAGTTTTCAATCCAACCCAATGATTTTAATGTATGAATAGTGTTCTTCCTAGATTTCATTGTATGGATCTATTTTCCTATAGGAATCAATTCTAAATTTCCGCCAAAAATCCGAACCCTCAACATTGTGGCCATGGTTGCCCTAGAAGTGTTGTGCTGCCTCTCGGACGCGAGAAAAACCAAAATGTCAATAACTCCATGAAACATAGAGTTGGCACCATAGCATCCAGTGCAATTTGATATGATCTCTGTAGAAATTAAGTGTGATGAAAACAGTTGGTTACAAAATGGGCGCCAAGCAGAAGCTTTGTAGAACCCCATCGAGCTTGGCTCAGTTACTCCATTGATTGAACTGGCTTACATACACCCAATGGTGGTTGGGTATAATAATTGTGGTTACCACCGCCAAGCGAAAATGTTGTGTGGAACAATGGTCTACCCAAACCAACACTCAGGATCACTCTTCTCCAGACATCATTTATGGGGATCGATGCATTGCAGGTAAAGATTTCATTGCATGAATAGTTTATTAATGGTTAGAAATGCTAACTAAACTTAGGGCCTGTTTGGTTCCAATAAGTCACTTGACTTATAAGTCAGGTGACTTAAAACAAGTGACTTATAAGTCATGCCTATTTGGTTGTCACCTGACTTATAAGTCACCTAACCACACCTTTCCACCTTGTTTTTTTATATAAAGGTGGTGGGACCCACACAAAAGGGGGTGACTTGTAAGTTTTAAGTTAGGGTGAAGCAACTTATGACTTATAAGTTGGGGTGACTTATAAGTTGGGTCTGTTTGGTAAAATAAGTCACTTTTTTCACTTTTCGACTTATAAGTTGGTGACTTATTTGGAACCAAACAGGCCCTTACATGATGTTCACACGATAGGTAATAATATAGCCATGGTGCATCAGGCAACTAGAATGTTGTCTTATGCACTCACACTTGTTCATTGCCCCGTAATCACTAGTAGAAAACAGGGCTTTGGTCCAGGCCGGGTCAGCCCATTAGTCCCGGTTCAATCTAGAACCGGGACCAATGGTGGCATTGGACCCGGTTCGTGAGCCCAGGGGGCCGGCCGGGCCACGTGGGCCATTGGTCCCGGTTCGTCTGGACCTTTTGGTCCCGGTTGGTGGGACGAACCGGGACCAATGGGCCTGGCTCCTGGCCCACCACCATTGGTCCCGGTTGGTGGCCTGACCCGGGACCAAGGGCTCCCCTTTAGTCCCGGTTCATGCCATGAACCGGGACTAAAGTGTGAGCACACCTAGAGTTTAGTCCCACCTCGCCAACCGAAGGGCGCCCACACCTGCTTACAAGCCCGTCCCTCTCTGCGTTGTTGAGCTCCTCTCAAAGTGAAAATAGATGCACCTATAGAGGAAAATTGGACCTAAATTCATAAATAGAAATGAATTATGAATTTATGTTTAATTTTCTCTATAAGTGCATCTATGTTCACTAACAGAGAAGTTTTTATTTTTTGTGACCTAAAATAAAAAAGAAATCACTAACAAAAATATAAGTATTTAGTTCTAAGTAGAAATGAAAAAATAAATAGCAAAAAAGAAAAAAAATGCCTATATTATTTGTAAAGTTATTCATAAACTAGTGATTCACACAAATTTTAAAAAATTCAAATTTAAACTATTCAAATTTTAAAACTAATGGCACTAGCTAACAGAAAGTTTATAATTTTTGTGACCTAAAATAAAAAAGAAATAACTACAAAACAAAAAAGTGCCACCTACTATTAAATAGCAAGGAAAAAGATTGACTCAAAAATCAATTTTAACTATTCTACAAAGTGTTTTCACACAAATTTAGTAAACTAGTGATTCATAAACTAGTGATTCACACAAATTTCAAAGAATTCAAATTTTAACTGTTCTAATTTGAAAACTAATGGCACTAGTAAAGTTAATCACAAACTTGAGATTCACACAAATTTCAAAGAATTCAAATTTTAACTATTCTAATTTGAAAACTAGTGGCACTAGCAAAGTTAATCACAAACTTGAGATTCACAGAAATTTCAAAGAATTCAAATTTTAACTATTCTAATTTGAAAACTAATGGCACTAGTAAAGTTAATCACAAACTTGAGATTCACACAAATTTCAAACAATTCAAATTTTAACTATTCTAATTTGAAAACTAGTGGCACTAGCAAAGTTAATCACAAACTAGTGATTCACACAAATTTCAAAGAATTCAAATTTTAACTATTCTAGTTTGAAAACTAATGGCACTAGTAAAGTTAATCACAAACTTGAGATTCACACAAATTTCAAAGAATTCAAATTTTAACTATTCTAATTTGAAAACTAGTGGCACTAGCAAAGTTAATCACAAACTTGAGATTCACACAAATTTCAAAGAATTCAAATTTTAACTATTCTAATTTGAAAACTAATGGCACTAGTAAAGTTAATCACAAACTTGAGATTCACACAAATTTCAAACAATTCAAATTTTAACTAGTCTAACTTGAAAACTAGTGGCACTAGCAAAGTTAATCACAAACTTGAGATTCACACAAATTTCAAAGAATTCAAATTTTAACTATTCTAATTTGAAAACTAATGGCACTAGTAAAGTTAATAGCAAAAAGAAACTTTAATAGCAAAAAGAATTATAATAAATATTTCTTTTGTTACAAACTAGTGATTCACATAAATTTCAAAGAATTCAAATTTAAATAATTCAAATTGGAAAATTAATGGCACTAACAGAAAGTTTATAATTTTTATTACCTAAAACCAAAAATAATAACTGAAAAACTAGTAAGTATTTTGATGTTAGTAAAAAACAAAAAACTGGATTTTTTTTAAAAAGTGCCGCCTACTGGGCCACCACAGCCTGCATACGACTAGAAACCCGCTAGTTGGGCCAGGATGCAGGCCCACAGTAGGCCCAGTAGGCCCACAGGCACAGAGAGTGGATTTAGGCCCGTAAGCCTGCAGTAGAGAGGAGCTCGAAGTGGTCGGCTCCGCAGGGCTTATAAACCACTCCGAGCCCCTCTCGGCTAGCGAGGTGGGACTGAACATCCCAACGCACCGCGGCAGTTCCAGTACACGCCCTTTGGTCCCGGTTGGTGGCACCAACCGGGATGAAAGGGGTCCTTTCGTCCCGGTTCGTGGCACCAACCGGGACTAAAGGACGCCGCTTCCCGCCCTTTGGGCTGCCGAAAAGTGGCCTTTGGTCCCGGTTCGTGGCACAAACTGGGACGAAAGGGGTGCATTGGTCCCGGTTTGTGCCACGAACCGGTACCAATGGCTTTGCTATATAAGCAAAGACTTGGGAAATTTTCACATTTCCCTCGCAGTTGCCCCCGACGACGCCGAGCACATCGACGCCGCCAGGCTGCCCCAACGCCGTCCGCCGCCCCTGCCGTCTCCCCGACCGCGCCGTCGCCGTCGCCGCCCCGTGCCCCCTGCCTCCTCACCGCCG